ATGATGAGGGACGAAACCCCTTAATAACAGTCGAAACTTAGACGAAACTATATTAAAATCATAATAAGGGATACGACAAAATCCATTCGATACGACAAAAGCCGAAACTGTCGAAACTATATTAAAAACATAGAAAAGGGTATAACGAAATTATTTTGAGGAGGTTTCGGCAGGCATCTATAATCTGTACACATTGAAATAAAAGTATACTTTCCATTAATATATGCTAATATTGCTGCTTCCTATTTATCTTAAAATTCTTGATATTCAAATACTTTTGCAAGTATATCATATGGTGTAAGTGAATTAGGATTTGAGTTTTATAAAGATGGTATATATTGTTCATTTGAAAATTCATAATACTATTCAAATTTAAAGCAGAAGTTATAGTATTTACATAAGCCTAATGATAAATGCTTTAGAAAAACTTCACAAACTAAACATTTTAGATTTTTTTCAAAATTAAATATATGTTTAGAAAATGTATATTCAAATTCTTTGATTTTAATTTCTTTTTAAATACTATATTCATAAGATATAAAATCCTAAAAATAGAATTTAAAAGTTATTATATTATTTGATTTATTTAATTAATTTCAAATAAACTTATGCTTACCTTATCCTAATCAAATATTTTTAGATTATTTTTTTGTTCTTGAATTTTTTAGTATGATCCTGATTTCATTTAGCAATATTATCAGAATTTTTTTGATTTTGTTTTTCTTATTATTCTTCTATTTTTCTAATATTTTGTTTATTTTTTTCAAAAAATTATTGAAGATTACAAGTCATTCGTGAAATTTTCAGTATATTTAATAAGCCATTTTTATATTTAAAAATTGTAAGAGCATGACATATACTGTTAGTTTTTCAATAATCAATTTTTTTATCCAAAAAACAGAGTTTAACCTGATTAAAAGCCTTATTATATGATATTTTAATATGAGTAATTAAGCTTTTTTTGTAGGTATATAAAAGCATTCTTTAAGAAATTGATAAAACTTTTCTCTTTGATTAATTATATAATCCTTCAAATGTGGTGTTTTAATTCAATATTAGGATTTTCTTTTCGCTAACATACTTCGTTTTAACAAAAATTATGATCATCTGAAAGGTAAGCAACGAGTCCATCAATTTGCACTTTTTTTAATTCAGCATCTGATATTGTAATCTTATTCTCATTAAGTTTTCATTCACTTGCTGCATAAATACATGAATTATAATAAAACATGATTGTATTTTCATAATCTTTCCATATAGAATTTTTTGCTATTATTTTGAATTAATAAAAAGGAAGTTGTTTAATATAAATTAAATTATTGTGTAAATATTCTTAATTTTAATTTATTTAACTTTTCTTAAAAATAAGTTCAAACTTATTTATTTTAAATAATAAAAATTTTTATAGTAATAATTATTAAAATAGTTATTTCTAATATCAAAATAATGAATAAAATCACTAAAAGAATTATAATTAAAAAATTTAATAGTTTAAATCAATATTCTAAATTTAGCAATTACACTAATGAAAAGCTAATTGTAAAAAAAATATGTACAAATATGAATAAACTTATGATGATGATAAAAATAATTAGACTTAATAGTCTTAAAAATTATTCCTTACTCTTAAAAAAAGCTTACCAATATTTGTTCTAATATTTTTGCCAATATGCATTAAATCTGCATATACTTTACTTACGCATGGAATATTATTTAAAGTTTTATTTGAATTCAAATCTCCATCAACTCCAATATTCAAAAGTACATCAACAGCTTCTAATACAGATACAATTTTCTCAATAATTCGTAATAAAATTGTATGTTCCATTTACCTTGATGTCTTTTCAAAATTACCATGATAAATTTCATATTCTTGATCATTTCTTTTTATTTTATATTATTTTTTACTAGTAGCAAATGCAACAATAGATTTGTGATTATATCTTATATGTAAAAAAAATTTTAGAAAATAATAATTAACCCAATTTTTATTTATAGATTTTTTTTCTATACCTTTAAGATTTCCTTGATTTTCTTAAAATATTAATTCCCCACTAGCTTGATTAGCATTTCGACAATGTGATCAAGAACAATTAAAGTTAGTAAAAAGTACTTTATTTTAATATATTCAATAGCTTTAGTTAAAACAATTTGTGCATTTTTTTCAGCTTCAATATTTATTTTTTCTAAATACTCATTTTATTTATTATAATAGTGTTTTTTTGATGATTGCGTTATAATTCTAATTATAGATAATATATTCTGGAATTGCTATCTATTAACACTACTAACAAGTTTAGTACTTGTCATAAGAGAGAAGAACTGTGCATTAGGTGATTTATTACTATATTCTAGGATTTCTTGACATTTTTTATATTTGATTTTAATTTGAAGATTATAGCTGATTCTGTAAACATCCAGTTTTTTCTTAAATAAATCACGGTTATGACATGTGAAATAAGATTGAATATATATGCTTGTAAAATATTATTCAGTATTAATAAATATAGTAGATCTAATATTTATTTCTTTTATAGTTTTTTTTATCCAATTATTTAAAAATTCCTGATCTTTTTTTTCATGTAGTTTATATTTCAAAATTTTAATATATTCATTATTAACTTTTATACGCTTGATTTATTATGTGATGCATTATCTGATTTTTTTAAAGCTTCATATTTAACTGCAAGTGCTAAAGTCACTTTAGGAGATAACTATATTTCTGATTCTTTTATTTTAATTCCTTGGTAAATTATTAGAATTTCTAAAGGAATTTTTATCTCTTTAAGTAAATTTTCCCCCTTTTTTACATGGAAATAGTTAATTTTGCAATTTTTTCTTGAGATTTAGTTTTTATAATAATAACACTAAAAATAATTGGATAAATTGAATTCACTTTTGCTTGTAAATTGTGAATAATATTAGAATCATGCAATCTTAGAATATTCAAAATAGAAACTTCTCCTGATAGTTTTATATTTTTTTTCATATTTGCAAAAAATCATTATTTATTTCAAAATATATAATTTGCGATATCTCTATATCTTCAAATTTTTCTAATTATATGTAAAACTCTCATCATTATTACTTTGAATTTCTAAACATACATATAAACTACCAAACTTTTCAATTACATAATGATCAAGAAGTAAAGAAACCCATAAAGAAGGTATTAAATTTTCTTTTTTTGTAATAGCATAATAATATGGATTATAAGTATAATATTTTTTGTTTGTAATTTAGCATGAATAGAAAGAACTTTGAGTGGTTTAGATACGTCATGAAGCATATATCCTTTATTTACTTTTTTATATATCTTTAACGTAAAATTAAAAGTTTGCATATAATGTATCTAATCTAAAATTCTAAATATAATGAAAACATGAAAAGAAATAAAAGAAAAAAATTTAAATTAACCAATATTAAAGGTATTTAAAAGAAAAAAATTTAAATTAACTAGTATTAAAAGTACTTAAAACCTTTTGAGTTTGGTAGCTATTTTTTACTTGAGAAAAATTCAGATATATCGGTAATATATTTAGACAGTATGCTTATTTATTCAGCTGATTATTTTTAAATTATGATCTGCATCTTATGTGTTAAAATGATAAACAAATCTGAGTTTTTGAAAATAACAAATGATGAACACATATTATATTATAAATTAATTATAAAGAATACTCTATCCTTAAATTTAGAATATAATTATAATAATTTTAGGTAAAATTAGTTATAATCAGAAAATGGTTAAGTTGTATTAAGTTTAGATCATATCAAAATATATTAAAAATATGGTTAACATCTATTCTCTTCTAATATCTATTTTTCTCCTAATACCTGTTTCTTTCAATATACAGTGTCTAATAAGAAGTCACCAGTCATATGATTGTTAATAATTATTTGTTTAGCTTTAAAACCTATTATGTTGATTATTTTCTTATTAATACATCTCTAGTTTTTTATCATATATTACTAAAACCTTTCTTATTTAAACATAATTTTTAAAAGAAAAGAACTTTTCATTTTGAATGTGATGAAATTATTAGTGCTTAAAAATGTGAAATAAGCAAAAGAAAGATTAGTGAAGCTTTAAACTATTCTTAAAGTACTATTTATAATGTTATTTCTGCTTATAAAATTGTAGATATAAAATACTTCCTTTTAGAACTGACAAACCACTTATAATGACTGAAAGAGATGGTCATTATTTGATAAGAATTCTTAAAGAAAATAAAAAAATGAACTTTTAGAAATTATATGAAGAATTTGTCAATTCCACTTCAACAAATATTAGTAAATAAACTTTAAGTACTTACCTTTATAAAAAGGTTTCTATAGTCAAGTTAATGTAATAAAATCTTTCATAAGTGAAAAAATAAGTAAAAAAGACTTACCTAGGTTAAAGAATAAAAAGAATGAGTAAATGAATAAAAAAGTATCATTTGGAGTAATGAATTCAAGTTTGAAGTATTTGAAGGAAATGGTAAAAGGTGAGTTTAGAGGCGATCTTATGAAAAGTATGATGTGAAGTTTTTAATTCTTATAGTAAAGTCAGTTCAACAAGAAGTAATGATGTGAAAATATTTCATAAAATATAATCTTAGTCTATTAGTAAAATTAGAAGGAAGGATAATAGCTGCAGTATATAAGAAAGTTTTAAAAAATAATTTAATTCCATTTATAGAGGGTTTAGATAATCAGAAAAATTATTTTTTTTAAGAGGATAACGCTCTCATATATACTGCAAATATTATTAAAGTTGGAAAGTGAAATATAAAATGAATAGTATTTCCTAGCCTGCACAGAGTTTAGATTTTAATTTAATAGAAAATTTATAGGATGAATTAGAAAAGCAAGTGCAAGTACACACTTTATTACCAAAAAACAGGGAAGATTTATGAGAAATACTTAAGAGAAATGATCAAATCTTGATGTTAATAAATATCAAAATCTTGTTGATAGTATGCCTCAACAAATTGCTACTATAAAAGTTATTTAACAAAGTATTAATAAATATTAAAGTATTTATTATTCAATAAAAAATTTTTATTAAATTTGATGCAGTAATGATCAAGTAATTTGAATTTAAAAATTTGCATTAAAAATAATTAGCATCATGTGACTGGTAATTTGTTGCCAAGCACTATACATTCTTCTCTAATATTTGTTATTCCTAATACTTATTTTCTTTAATTTGTGATCCGTATATAAAGTAGAGATCGTCATATATAAATGCATATGCCGATTCAGGGATAATACGCTTATACGATTTTAAGTTTTTTAGAATCTCAAATTCTAAACAAATTCAACCTTTTTTTTAGAGCTAAAATACATGAGAAAACGCAAAGAATACGTTACAACACTTATTTTTGCTGGTCAAATTGTAGAAAATACACATTATGGACCATTTTGTCATAGTTGGTGGCTTATACGACCTACAAATAAAACTTCTACACATACTTTTCTCCTTCCAATTCGGTTAGGAATGAAAACCCTCGCTGTTTTAAATAAATGTGACTTTATAATTACTGTTGTAGAAGATACCAATTATCCCAATTCTCCTAGTTTTATTTGCTGTTCTAAAGAAAATCATTCAGATGTGTGCAGTTCATCAACGGAAGCTATTAATACTTGCTACGAGAAAGTTTTTCATTCAAATGCAAAATTTCCTGGACCACAAGTTATGGGATTTGACGATTCAAATATTGTGCAGCAATTACTTAGTGACATTATATTTCGTCCATATGCGTTTAGTCTTAGAAGATTGAATATATTTGTTATGGGAATGGGAAAATCAAAAAACCGGAATAGAACTATGCAGGAGAAGGATATAAGTCCGTTTTTTAATACAACTATGATGGTGTAAAATCGAATTTTGTTCAAGAGATAGAAAATGAAGAATGTGTGGTTCAAATATTTACCAATGACATTTTGAAAAGAACTTATAGCGCTATTGATCCTAATAAAATTTAGTTATGCATTAATGGAATTTTAAATTATTCTGGAAAAACACTTTTTGGATTAGAAAATCCATATACGTAAATTTGTATTCAGAAAGTACAAATTCCTTCTTGTACAGTTTTAGATTGGACATTTGAAGGAGTATTAGAAAAACTTTATAAATATCACTTGAAAAAAAGAATTTCATGTGAGATTACATGGCATGATTTATTTGATAAATGGTTGAATCAGAATAGTGATATTTTAGAATTACGAAAAGCTGTTTTAGATTTGTATCCAT